CCCCCCGGTCCCTCTCTGGATGGAGAAGGGCAGCCCCACTTGCTTGGTCTGAGCACCCCAGATCCTGCGGGCAGGCACTGGGAAGGACCAGCCCAGCCCCGAGCCCTGGGGGAGCGATGGGAGATGTCCCCAGCCCCATCCAGGCGCCACAAAGAGCAAACAGTGGACCTTCATTTTTGGTGCTGCTCCAGAGCAGAACTCAGCCCCCATGGTCCGCACCCCAGCCATGGCAAAAGGGTCCTGATGGCTGGAGGAGTTTTCTGTCATCCCCATGGCAGGCAGCTCCATCACTGGGGCCGCCTCGCCTTGTGAGAAGGTTAGCTGTATTAATAGTCAGTGCCGAAGAGATTTGGGTTTGCTCACTCTGTACTCCTTGAGCTGTCCCTGGATGGTGTCCAGGTGCACTCGGGTCCAGGTCAGCGCAATGGCAGTGCTGTTTAAAACTCTTATCCTAACATCTGTAGGCGCAGCCTTGGGATCTGAGCATTTGGGGATAAAGCACAGTGTACGTCAGGCCCTGGAGGTCAGACAGACAGACAGACGGACGCCCCTCTGTCCCCCTTGCCATGGTTTTCCCATTGCAGCATTGCCAGGCTGCTGCAAACCTGGCGAGCAGTGGCCCTGTGCACCGGCCCTGCCATCTGCTGGTATCCCGGCTGCCGGCAGCGCTTTCCTGGGGGTAATCATCTCCTTTTCTCCCTCCTTAAATTCAATTTCTGAGGATTTCTAAACTCGATAACATAAAGCAGGAGCAACAGGCCAACCCTCAGCTTCCTGGCTGCCCTCGTTTGGGGTGAGCAGACCCTATGACCCTGCAAATACCCAGAATAGCATCACTTACCTCCATCGCCCCCCTTGCTTTCTCCCTGATGTGTGCATGCTCTAAAAGCTGACTGTTGGGGGTTTTTTTAGCCAGTGCTTCCACCAGAAAGAGGTAAAAAACCCCAAAAACCCAACCCCATACCTCAGCCAGCCAGCTGGCACAAGATTATTCATGATCCAGTTAATAGCAGGGCTTCCTACGTGCTGCTGCAAGAGCTCCTGGTAGCACAAGGGTGGGCTCTGGCCCGTGTCCCTCTCCCAGGGAAGGGGAGCACAGCGTGACCCTGCTGCTGGCAGATCCAGGCCCCTCCTGCTGGCCACTGTCAGACCCAAGTTACAAAACCACCCATGATTTCCACATCTGTTAATCTGAATTTGGCCAGAACCGGCTGTTGATCCAGTTGGGTTTTTAACCTCTGCTTTACGGATCACCTGCTTGTATGTAGAAATCTGCAGTTATTTGTGAAGCAATTCAGACGTGACAGGGCAGGGACTAGGGGGTTTTTGTTTATTTTGGGCTGGTTTTTTTTAACTTGTCCCACCCCTTGGGCTACAGGCAGGAAGCTTTGGTCTCCCTGGTTTTCCTCCATGTGAAGCACATATGGGCAGGCTCATTCAGATCCTCCCAAACCTCAAAATTATTGCACAAGTTTTCAACTGAAACTAGAAAAAACCAAACCCTGGTAGTGCCCAGACAGGTAATGCAGAGATGATGGGGCAGCTGGGTGGAGCTTTCCCAGTAACAGCCAGCTTTGCTTCCAGTGCTCAGTTCTTACCCTGATTCCCATCATTTCTGCCCAGCTTCCTTCGGGTTGCCCTGTCTCCACTGGGAGATGATGCCCAGTCGGAGGATGTGTCCGAGCACCAAGATTGCAGATTTTCTTGAAACTGCTGTGCCCTGTCTGTGCCTCCTTGGGTTCAAGCCTGGAGTCATGGGTCGTTTGCTGGCTTTTCCACCTTATTTCTTGGTAATCCTAACGTCACACAGCCAGGGACCCCCCACTGATGCTGCAGTGCAAGGAACTAATACATATTTCTTTAAAAATGAAGCTGTTGGCAGTAAACCACATTATCCTAACAGGAGGAGGATAATCATCATTCGGAGTCTTGGTTCCTAGAGGCACAAAAGGTGATACCAGTAGCCCAGAAAGAAGGTGAAAAGAGAGTTAACCAAGCTGGGCAGCTGTTCTGCGTGACCAGAGGAGAGCTTTAAAGAAAGATAAGCTGAGCTAATGGCTTGTTGCAAACAGGAGCTCAAGCTGGGACTTAGCTGGGGCCTTATCAGAGAGGCACAAGAATCCAGTCCAGGATGAACCAAGGCCCTTTTGGTCATTTGTAGCACTTCTCATCCAAGATGAAACCAGTGCTCTACTGGTGTCAGGGGCAAAAAATTTAGTATGGTTTGCTGGAATAGAGCCAGAGCTCATCTCAAATGAAATCTTACTGTCTTCCACATTCAAAGTGTTATCTGGGTATTACAAGGAGCAAGGGAGAGGCCAAGTGACTCAGGTTATGCAGGCAGCCGCAGGCAGAACCCAGGACAGAACCTCACGGCCAAGTCTTTTCTTCCAATACCTGGAACTGGATTTTTGTGCCAAATCAAGCAGTGCTATGAATGTGTCCCAGGCACAGGTGCCAACCCACTGACCTTGGGTGGGATCCCGTCCTTCTGAAACACTTACAATCTCTGGCTGAGAAAATACTCACAATCTTCCCCTGAGTAGCCAATGACGGTGTCAGGCTCTGGTGCTCTACCAAAGTCGTTCTCTGCCTGCACTTTGATCTCGTAGGGGACATAGATGGGGGTGTTCCAGACGACGTGCCTCGGTGTCTTCACTGTCTCATTGTACCAGCTCCCTCGGGGGTCCCTTCGCCTCCATCTCACGATGTACCTGAGGTTGGGCCCATAAGCTTGAGTTGCATTCAGAGGCTTAACGGAGCAAAACAGAAAAAGAGAGTGAGAAGGAGAAAGAGCAACTGTATTTCTCTGCCATGGAGCTCCAAAAAGTTCTGTTCAGCAGCTGGTTCTTATTTCATGCTCCATCAGCATATCTCGAAGGAGGTCAAAACTTATGTTTGCAGAGAGAGACACCCCTAGTCCTTGCCCTCCAGATGCAAGGCAGGACCAAGAACCACATCCTTATATTCCAGGCCATACTCCCGCTGCAATTGCTATCGTCCTTATAGATGCTGGCTTATTTGTGGATGACACCTGCTGGTCCATGAAGAAAAGCAAGAGCTGCTCTGTAAGCCCTATATACTGCTTAAGGAATCAGACTCTCTGAGCATCCTCCCTCACCTGTATCTGTGATCCAGCATCTTTTCTTTGGCTTAAAGAGTTGCAAATTATTGGTTTTATCACAAACCTTCTCCTAGGCACTGACAGTGGCCTCTCTAGTAGATGCATCTTCTGCTTTTTATTTCCTTTAAGATGACTGAGGTTACGGTATTCTGTGTGGGACATCACATTGCTGAGCTCTCTGTATCTCAGCATCTGTGACCGTAATGGTAAGATGCTGGGTGGCTGTCAAGCATCGAAGAAGAACTCACCGTCCAGGTTATCTCCATGTTGTTTTTTTGGGTCCCTGCACCTTGAACTCCTGTTGGGTTAATTTCAGGACCTGGAATTCACATTAAAAAAAAAAAACAAACTGCAGTTTATAATGTTGAAAAACGACCATTTGAGTGGTTAAAAACCCTTTGCTGTGCAAGGCAGAAGTATTTCCAAGGCAGAAGTTAATGGCCTGATTTTTCCAGAAGTTCCCATTCAGGTTAATGGAACATGAGACTCTCAGCACTCTTGGAAACCAGGGCATTTATTTAGGAGCCTCTTTTTTTTTTTTCCCCAAAATGTCCTAAATCTTTGAAAGACAGCCCCTGTGAAGCAACCCCAGGAGCCAAGTCTGACACTTTTGAAATCTGAAACAAGAAGAGTAATGTCAAAAGCCAACACTAGATGCCAGTAGATATTAGAGAAGCATCTCTGCAATGGTTAAATTAAATGCAGTAAAACTACTAAGCTTCTTGTGAATTCCTCATACATATTTTCCCAGGTATTCTACAACGTACACAGCACCAGGCAAACAAACTGAAGACACGAGTCCTGATCATGGGCTGGAGCACACTTTACTCCTGCATCGATCTGGGGTCCTGGCCAGCTCTAGCAGTGGACAATGAATTAGGGATTTTGGAACAAATTGGCCAGTTTATACTTGAATCCAATTTGCCAAGACTTTTCTGAGCTTCCTGTGGTCAGAGAGGATGAAAGACTTTCTAAGAAAGCTTCTTCCCCTTCTCTTTTCTCCTGGACCGCTTTATGATCTGAGAAACTCTGGTGAGATCTTAGCCTTAGTGTAAGGAGTCAGATGGTTAGGCGGGATGATTAGGCAGCACTGTCCATACTTGGGAACTCCTACATAGCTGAGGTGGGGAGCAAGAACGGGAACAATCAGTTGTCCCCTGACAGCCTTAGAACATACCTTATCCGGATTGTAACCTGAGTGATGTGGTACCAGCGTTACTGGAATTCCAGTAATTACTGACACTGATTGTGGCCCGGATGGAAATTTACTGATGACTAAAGCCAATCATCTCACGACCTTATAAAACAGTGGTCCTAAGTGAGACCCTCTGAGGTCCCCTTGACCGCAGCGGGCTGCAGCCAGCATCTCTCTCCAAGTGGGACGCCTCTCAGCGTTTGCTAAGATCGGAGGTCCATCGCTGAAGACCGACAGTGGAGCCCTTCACTCCTTGAGGCTCAACCCTTGCCCATTGAGAAATGCCGACACACTCAACGTGAGTATTTCACTGAACTCAAGGGGAAGTTTTAGTGGGTTCACCCTTATATACATTATATATAAATATAGTCATGTCTGTGTGTATGCATGTGTGTATTGATTTAAGGAGTCTGTAGATGTATGATTTAATTACAAAGTGAGCCGTATACTGCTGATACACATATATATATATTTTTCCTTAAACATAAAATATTGACCAAGTCTGAGACTAAGATTGGACCCAACCACACCTAGGCTTCTCTCTGAGGAGTTTAGAAAGCAAGAAGGTCTGCTCTGAACCTCATGACTCAACGGGAGGATTCTCCTTACCCTCTGCACCCACGATCTCTCTGTGAATCATTCTAACTCGAGTGTAACTTGGTTTTCCTGTGTGTGCCTCTTCCATGCAGTAACAGAGTGAACTTTGCCATCTTTGAGTCTTTAACTGAGTCGCTGTTGTGATTAATTTTGTCAAATCACTTCGTTAATCGATGGATGATTGAGCGCGACTAAAATATCACAATCAAATCCTGCAATTTGCCATAAAGGCACAAATAAATTCCAAACTGCTACTAAATCAAATTGTGCAAAGTCACTCATTCGTGACACCAGGCTTCCCTTCAACAGATTCTGCTGGAATGACCTTTGCGTAAATCTTTCCATTTGAGTTTTGCTGCTCTGTGGAATATCACTCATAGGCTCAAGGATGCAATATATAAAATTACAGCCCAGCACACCCATGGACCAGCTCATTCCCTCACCTGTGTAAATCTGTTTCTGTTATAGGAGCTGTGATCATAGACCACAAGGGAAGAGGCTGCATGGAGAGAGGTGGCCAGATGCTAGGAGCAATATCAAGCAATGTTGACCCTGGTCGAGTCCTTATCCCTGGGGGTATTTAAAACCCAGGCAGACAAGGTGCTTAGGGCCAGGGTTTAGTGGTGGGATGGCAGGGTTAGGGGAACGGTTGGACTTGATGATCTTAAAGGTCTTTTCCAACCTAAACAATTCTATAATTCTATGATTCTAAGTCACCATGGCGAGAGGGACTCGTTGGACGGTACTCACGTGCCCCGTTGGTCTGATATCGTTCAGAGGGCACGCTGGGCAGGCTGCTGCCCACATCATTCACCGCAATCACCCGAAACTGGTAGTTGACGTATGGAGAGAGGCTCAGGACGGCCGAGTTGACGCTCCCAGGGTACCTGGAGTGGTTATGCCACATGCCAGGTTGGAACCGGTCCTCCTCAAACTGGACAATGTAGTCTGGGGGAGAGGATGGAGATGTGGGGTTAAGGGCTCGGCTCACAGGGAAAGTTTTCCCTCCGTCATGTGGGAGGGATACAGGGCAGAGGGTCTGGCGGCTGACCTGTGATGGGACTGTTATTGTCATCTCCGGGAATCCACGTCAACCGCACACTCCTCTCAGCCAGGTCTGTCAGCTCCAAGTCACGGGGCCGGTCGGGTCGTTCTGTTGGCCGAGTAATGAAACAAATTAGGCTGGGATTGTCCCAGGAGCTGGGAGTCCCAGTTCCCATTACTTCTCCTGAGAGGGGAAGCCCTGGCTGTCTTAGTCCAGACCCATGGGAGGACACGTGCCCTGTGGCGTGATTCACGTCCTGCAGCTCTTGGTGGACCAATGCAATTTTTTAAATACAACTGTGCTTACGTACTAATTGTGCCTTGCCTTCAAACCCTACCCACTCCCTTTACAACCGGTGTTACCTGGTGGTGGAAGCACGATATAGTGGCTTAGCAGGGGGATAGATGATCTTACAACAAACTACACGCAGCTGCCCAAAAAATAAATGCAAACAAACAGAACAGAAAGGACCCAAAGCCTCAATGAAAATACAGACTTGTTTGAGATGCTCTGGTACAATTCTGCTTTCTTTATCTGGTCACAACCCACATGGTCACGCAGAACCAGCTCATGTGATAACAGCAATTTCTTTCCAGGTAAAGGTCAAGGGATTTAATGTGATTTTATTTTTTTTTCTTCCCATCAGGGCTCACCTCTTACAGGCATGGGTAAGGTGATCCTTGTGCTCAACAACTGGCACTGTGGGGTGTGAAATGATGTGACATGGGACCTTTCTACCCACAGCCACCTGGGGGGGGGGGAGGTTCAAGGACAACATGGACAGGACTTGGAAGCATCGGCTCCCAGCTTTTTCAACCCCTACACCTAGATTTTCTGTTGGCGTTATTGGCAAGGCAAACCAAAAGCGATTTACAAAATAAAATAAACCAAATGAATTAGTGATGATTACCTTTCGGTAAGTCTCTCAAACGGTTAGCAGGGACAGCTGCAAGGTAAGACATTGCTTGTTAACGGTGTTAGTTTAGTCATTAAGCTTGGGTGGCCAAAGGAGCACCTGGCAAATATAAAGTTACACAGAGAGTTACAGATTTCAGGAGGATCCGATCCTGCCTGGGGACCAGAGTAGGTCCCCAGAGACCTCCAGGCGTGCTCTGCACACCTTTATTCATACTTCAAGTACACAGCAAAGGGGAAACATCAGCCTGCTGTAGAGTTAATCTGCTATTAGGAAAATAGGGGGGAAAAAAAATTAGGGAAAAGGAAGGGAAATAAAACAAGCCCAGTCAAATTATTAGGGATATGAGATTCACGCTGCACTCGGACTTTTGTAGGGCATTGTGGGTCTGTGCCAGCGGCGCTGGCAGGTTGGGGCACTCCCGTCAATGCAGCATGGTCAGCGAGATCCGAGGTGGCCGAGAGCGGGGACTGAGAAATCCGTGGTTTGTGAGTAGCTCTTGCGGCGTAAATCAATGGGTGTGGGGAAGGGGTTTAGGTTTGTCACTGTCTGTATTGAAAAGGGGACGTGCAAGGCTTGGAGTGCTCCCTCACCCCCTGGTTCCCAACGTTGCTCAGCAGCCTGACATTCGGTTAAAGGCTGAGGGAGCTGGGCTTGTTCAGCCTGGAGAAGAGAAGGCTGAGAGGGGATCTCATCAACACCTACAAATATCTCAAGGATGGGGGTCACAAGGATGGAGCCAGACTCTTCTCAGTGGTGCCCAGCGCCAGGACAAGGGGCAATGGGCACAAACTGAAGCACAAGAGGTTCCAGTTGAACGGGAGGAAGAACTTCTTGACTTTGAGGGTGCCCGAGCCCTGGCCCAGGCTGCCCAGGGGGGCTGTGAAGTCTCCTTCTCTGGAGATATTCAACCCCTGCCTGGACGCTGTCCTGTGCCCCCTGCTCTGGGTGAGCCTGCTTGGGCAGGGGGGTGGGATTGGGTGAGCTCCCGAGGGCCCTTTCAACCCCTGCCAGTCTGGGATTCACTTGTAAATTTAGGACTATTCTCACAGAGCTTCAACATTCACATTTGGGTATTTTTAGCTGTATGTAATAACTACTCCTTTTTTTTTTTTTTTTGGTCTCCAATGCAAGTTTGCTTCGACTCAAATTCAGCGCCGCTGTCTGAGGCTGAGATGAGGCAGCACGTCCTTGCCGAGTCCTGCAGCAACGGAACAACTGCTCTGCCAGCATCTCCCTGAGCATCTCTGCTTCTGTGCTCACAGATCACCCTTTCAGCCTGACCTTGCAGTCAGTCTGCTCTATTAAAAATAAAGCACTTAGCTCTGTGTCAGTACACTGGGGGGGACAGCTTTACCCAGTACGGTGAGGTACGCTTTAGCCGAGTCCTTGTCCAGCTCCGTGCTAGCTATGCAGGTGTAATCCCCTTGGTCCTTTTCAGCCACGCCATATATTGTCAGACCATCATCTTCTTTCTTCATCCTTAAAGGGATGAGAACGATAATCATGCAACTGTGCCTAAGCCCATTAAGCAGCAGGATTGAGGTCTAACTGTTCTCTGATAAAATACATTAAAAAGCCCAAACAGAACAGGAGTACGTCTCTGGGATGAAGGTTTTATCAGCTAAGGATGTGTTGAGTTATTCTTGGAAACCTCATTTCCTAAGGAATCAGCAAATGTGCTCTGGTGTGTATCAGGAATAATCACACTTTTAGGAAAACAGTCTGACCTCTGGCTGGCTCGTGTCCCGTGATCAGATCTCCCTTCACGAGAAGGGAGTCAGCTAGGGGAAGGAAATTACAGCTGTACCACCCTCAGAGCAGATAAACATTAATTTTGAAGCAGCTTGTTATTAACCCACCCCTTTTATCAAGATGTCCTAAAATATCCATAAATAAAACCGATAGTCAACGTCTTGGTTTACCGATGAGTCAATTCTAATTGCTGGGCAGTGCCTGTTGGAAGGAGCTAGTGACATTAAAGGTATCAAGAACAACAGTTGCCTAGATGGGAACTCGATGTTTGTCCATATTATCCCTGGTGACTCCTGAACCCTCCTGTGAAAAGTCCAACAACCCTGGGTGAGAAGCCCCGTGGCACTGCTACAGACAGACCTGTTTCCAATGTACAGGGGCGCATCGTCCTTCAGCCAAGTGACCGTGAGTTTCAGCGTCGGGTCGTGCTTTATCCGGCAGTGGAGGCGAGGCATGGAGCCCCTCTTCACCACCTGATCTTCTGGGCCTCTCACAATCCTGGTTGGGTCTGCACAAAGCCAGAAAGCAAGCGTTAGGCAGCAAACTGCTGGGTCTTAGCTCAGGAACTCAATGAAGAGCAGTGTTACTTGGAAAGGACAGCTTGCTCTAGTGAACTGTCTCTGATACAAATGCTTGCAAATAAATTAATTTAACAAGCCATTAATTTATGCTGACCCTTTAAAAACATACCCAGTTTTCTGAGTCAGCAACCAGTTTTGCTGAACAGGGAAAGCCCCGGTGGAAAGTTGATTCAGAAAATGTTTTATTGCCATCAGTTAATCCTGAGGAACACTCTGTATTTCTTTTTGCATTGCTTATGGCAGCTGATAGCCCAATATCCACACCAAGCCCTTCCACAGCTCCAGTATATCCACAGCCTTGTTTTTTCCAACATTAAAAGGGAATCTCTACCATTTTCTGGATTCCAGCTCCAAATTACGCCGTGCCTGTCCTGCTGACAGACTGCTGGAGCGCACAACCAACCCTTCCTTAACCTAAATGGTTATTTCTGCTGGAAGTTTCAGAAGATCCAAGAGACCATTTTGACCTAGAGCCCTTCATGCCCAGAGAGGGGGTGGAGGCCCCATCCCTGGAAGCATTCAAGGCCAGGTTGGACGGGGCTCTGAGCAACCTGATCTAGTTAGCGGTGTCCCTGCTCACTGCAGGGGGGTTGGACTAGATGACCTCTAGGGGTCCCTTCCAACCCAAAACATTCTAGGATTCTATGCCCCTACCTTTCACCTCCAGGCGAACCTGGGCCTCTGCTTTACCCAGGATGTTGGTAGCGACACAAGTGTAGATGCCCTGGTCCTCCTTCCGAGCCATGTTCATCTCCAAGCTCCCGTTCTCATGTGCCTTGTAGTTTCCTCCATCCAGTGTGTTCCCCTGGCCGTTCTTAAACCTCAGAACACCACAGAGTGCTATTGTAAGGGAAGAAAGAGCAGGAAACCTCCCCTTCCCACCCCTCTGGACTGGCAGAGTATGTGCTGGAGCTCTCACCATCTCAGGGTGGGGATCGGGGAGCCAAAGAAGGGGCAGTCGAGTCGGGTCCTGTTGTTTTGAATCACCTTAATGAGCTGATTGCGGGGGGCCAGTATCCGTGGAGGCACATCTGCAAACAGCAAAGATCACAGCCATTGAGAAAGAAAAGAAACCAGTTTCCAGACCCCTGCTCCCTTTCCAGTCTTTTTATCTGCCCCCCCTTCTCTTTTTTTTCATGCTCATTCTTTGGCACTTTCGAGACTCAGTAGAGCTTCTCCATGCCCTCTCATCTCTCCTTCCCTTTCTAGCCTCTCTATATGAATCACCTTATGTCTTAGCGCCAACAGGACTTGCTCAGCCTTGCCTGGCTTTGCAGCTCCATGGCAATGGCCTTCTGCTCCAAAGCCCAGTTGCAGAGGTCACGGACCTTTGTGCATTAGCCTCAGAGTAGCCAACAACGAAGAGGAAAGCAAACAGAGAACTCTTGCAGGGAAAACTTGAGTATAGGGCATTCATCTTCCATAAGTACTTACCCAGGACGCTGACAAACGCATTGGCAAGAAGGTAGCCGTGCTCGTTGGACGCGTTGCATTGGTACACAGCACTGCTGCCGATCTGGGTGTCTCGAAAGACAATGGTGTCTCCAGCCACCTCCCGGCTCGGGTTGGGGGGAGAAGCTTCAAAACAGAGAGCGCTCTTTAAATTAAAATTGAAATTAAAATTCGCAAGACTCTCAATATCATCACACATCTTTCCGTCTCAGCCCAGATAAAAACCAGACAACGGTACGTGACCTCCCTAGCCTACAAAGACGGGGTTCAACTGGCCTCGTCTCAGACAAGCAGATGGTTTATGTACTGCAATGCTGGAGCCCACGCATGCCGCTCAGTGGGGTGCCTGGCACCCTGGCAGCAGCCCTGGCTCTCATGGTCAGCCACCAGATCCTTGGCTAGGGTTTTCGAAAAGGAGGTACGGATTCTTCCTTGCTCACCTTCTATAGGCTCCCCCGTCCCCAACCGTATCGCAGGCTTGGGGTTCCCGTTGGCTCGACACACCAGCCTGCCGTCCTCGCCAGGGGCCAGAATGAGGTTTTGGGGTTCGTCCAACCAGTATGGAGCAGCTTTAAAATACACCGATGCCCCAGTTATAAACGCAGTGGTACTACCTCATCCAAAATCCCCTCCCTGCCTGCGCACTGCTGAACTGAGACATGCAAACACCATCCCCTCGAGTGGGCTTTCTCAGGTGCGGTGAGAGCGGAGGCTCCTCTTCCTCCCTTTTGGCCATGACCCTCCTGTTTTGCACAAAACCACAGCCGTTCACATCAGCAAAGCCCTGCTGCGTTACACCAGCTGAGATCATGTCTCGCTCTGCTTTCAGGTCAGTTTGGACAAGAAGCAAGTATGGCTGGATACGGCACAGGGACAGCCCCCTTAGCAAAACCCCACTCCCCCTTTCAACAAGTCAGAGCATCCCCTCCCATCCACGTCCCCGCAGCTTCTGGTTGTGAAGGTAAAAAAGATGGCAAGGTAAAGATGACGTACCCTTCACTCTCACCGAGATCGTGTGGCGGATGCTGCCCATCTTGTTCGACGCCAAGCAGAAATACTCCCCGGAGTCTTCCTCGGAGACGTTGGAGATACGAAGAGCCTTGTTAAAGTTTTCTAGCTTGGTTTTGCCTGCTGGGAGCTCTCCTCCTTTCTTGTACCACATGATGTCTGGTGCTGGTCTAAGGAGAGGGGAGGAGATAGATAAATGCTTTTGCAAGACAAGAAAATTACTCCTAAAATAGGGATTGATAATCCAGAGAAGGACAGATCCAACTGCTGGGCCACCCTCCTTCCTACTACAGCCCCTAAACCAGGACCCTGAGCATCACCAGCTGATCGGGAGCGGGGTCCATCACATGGACCACAAATGTCCTCACCCACAGTTTACAGCCTGGTGAGGAGCACCCAGATTTGCAAGTAGCTGTAAGGACAAGCCAGTGGGGAATTATCCTTGGAGAGCAAGTATCCAAAGACACCAGCTTCTCTGAACAGCGCTGCAAAACTTGGCTCTCCTGTCTGCTCCGTGCTTTTACGCTTCATGTAAGTTATGAGAGTATTGTTAATAGCAGTTAAAAGGAACGGAACGATCCCTTTTCCTAGCCAGAGGAATTTCCACTGGGAATTCCAGCATCTTGGTCTCAGACCATCCCACCAGGGACTGCTGGGGACCTCCTTCCTCCCCACCGCCGCCAGCCGGGACACGGTACATACACTCCTGAGGCAATGCACTCCAGCAAGAGGTCCACCCCTCTGAGCACCATCTGACTGCTTGAGGTCCCGTAGGGATACATGAAGCTGGGAGTTGTTTCCGTAATCCCTCGGGCTGAAATCAGCAGGAGAGAAACAAACAAACAAAATAAAATGCTTTTAAACTCTCCTTTGCCGCAGTAACGGGCAGGGCACATACAGGGCCAGAAATACACGGTATTTTTGGGGGGAAGCTGTCAAGTTCCTGGCCAAGCCTGGGATACTGAACTCACCCAGAAAGGTACCTGGAAAGTAGAGAAGGGCTCAAGGTAATTTTTTAGGTAAAAAAAATATAAAAGGGTACAGAGATGATGCTTGGCAGGCAGGGAGGTAAAGAAGCAGCAGAGGATGGGCAGAAGGAGCTGAGCTGCGGGGATGGTGCATCAGGGAAGTCCCTGCACCACCAGCTCCCACCTCTCCTGCCCACCCCTGCCTCTAGCACAACGAAATGGGCTGAAAACAGATGAGACCTGCTGGGGACCTCCTTCCTCCCCACCGCCGCCAGCCGGGACACGGTACATACACTCCTGAGGCAATGCACTCCAGCAAGAGGTCCACCCCTCTGAGCACCATCTGACTGCTTGAGGTCCCGTAGGGATACATGAAGCTGGGAGTTGTTTCCGTAATCCCTCGGGCTGAAATCAGCAGGAGAGAAACAAACAAACAAAATAAAATGCTTTTAAACTCTCCTTTGCCGCAGTAACGGGCAGGGCACATACAGGGCCAGAAATACACGGTATTTTTGGGGGGAAGCTGTCAAGTTCCTGGCCAAGCCTGGGATACTGAACTCACCCAGAAACGTACCTGGAAAGTAGAGAAGGGCTCAAGGTAATTTTTTAGGGAAAAAAAATATAAAAGGGTACAGAGATGATGCTTGGCAGGCAGGGAGGTAAAGAAGCAGCAGAGGATGGGCAGAAGGAGCTGAGCTGCGGGGATGGTGCATCAGGGAAGTCCCTGCACCACCAGCTCCCGCCTCTCCTGCCTCTAGCACAACGAAATGGGCTGAAAACAGATGAGACTTGGAAAACACTGATGGGCAGAACATGTAATGAAGGACAAAAGGAACAAAAACGGGCACAGGAAGGGTTTACTTGGATGCCTGAGCTGCTCTGGCACAGAGATCTCCGAAATACGGAGGGTCCCGGTGCTGCCTGGGGCTCTAGCAGCACCAGGGAGGTTTCCCACCCTTGCTCGGAGCTGCGGGGCCTGGAAGGACAGTGCTCTTTGGGAAGCAACAGCTTAGCGACCAAAATGACAAATATCAGGACTGGACAGGGAAGTTTAACAGGAAAAAAACCAAGGGAAGACACAAGACAACTCTCTACAGATACACACAGCAAAGGTCTCTTTGTAGGGGAAAAAAATAATTATTAATTGAATGGATTCCATTAATAAGTGGAATTATCAAACTAGATCTAGATCAGTGAGGACAAAAGAGGATGAGATGGGCTTGAAAGCAGCAGTAGCAGAAAGGGGGGTTATGAGATTAGGAAAGGGGACAGAATGGCCAGGGTTGGCACAGGGTCACTACAAATCCCGAAGCGATCAGTGGGCAGAGCCCAGCCGGTGCAGGAGCAGGATCCTGGGGTGCAAAGCCCTCTCCTGCTGCCCCAAAAGCTTCATTTGCTCAGCGAGCAGGAGGCAGCCAGGTGTGCCCAGCACCGCGGGGCTTTTGGGGATGCCCAGGTCTATTTGGGAAGCTTCTGCCTGAGCTCTGGGAGGGGAAAAGGGCTGGGAAGGAGGAGGGGAGAGAGGCCAGGGTCTGTTCATGGAGTTCCCGTCAGCCTGCCTTAGGGAAAGCCTGGGACCAGGCTCACAAGGGGAAAAAAATAAACCCAACCCCAGGAAATAAACATGCCTTTGGAACAACTCCACATCTCCGGAGCGCGGCCGCACACACGCATCCCACCGCTCCCACGCACCCGCAGGTTACCGGCCCGCACGTGCTCGTCAGCGGGTTAGTCAATTATTTGATTAATGGATTACCAGGGCAGGCAAATCTTGACCTTATCCTGAAGGGCCAGTTCTCTGGGCAGGCACCTGCTGCTGTTTGCTTGCCCGCTTCTGGAGAGGATCTCGTTCCTGGTTAAAACCATCCAGCCCACGCCGGGGCTCTGCGGGGGGATGACAGAGCCCGCGCCTGGGTTTAAAGCCAGTATTTACCAACAGCTCCCATGCCTCCGGCCGGACTCATGAAATTCTCTCTTCTCATGTGATTAGGAGAGTGGGATATTATTTTATAAGCCAATATTGGCTTTTATAAGCCCACAGTCTGCAGCCTGTTTGAGCAGGCTCTGTGTTTCATTCCCACAATGAACCCATGTGCTCAGGAGCCCGGGGCATAACTAGAAGAGATGAGCAGCAGTGCAAGCCAAATTTTATGAGCCATATATTAATGATGAAAATTAAAAATAAGGGAGATAAATTAGTATCCTATCCACTTGTTCAATAAACCTAACACCACCACTGCAGAGCTGATAAGCTTTTTGCCTTAGTACAGCATCACTTGGAGTACTGCATCCAGCTCTGGAGCCCTCAGCACAAGGAGGACATGGACCTGTTGGAGTGGGGCCAGAGGAGGGCTACTAAAATGATCCGAGGGCTGGAGCCCCTCTGCTATGGGGCCAGGCTGGGAGAGTTGGGGGTGTTCAGCCTGGAGAAGAGAAGGCTGCGGGCAGAGCTGAGTGCGGCCGGTCAGGGCTTCAAGGGGGCCCAGAGGAAAGGGGGGGACAAGATTTTTAGTAGGGCCAGCTGGGACAGGACAAGGGGAATGGCTTTAAACTGAAGCAGGATAGGCTTAGACTGGATCTAAGGAAGAAATTGTTTCCCATGAGGGTGGCAAAACCCTGGCAGGGGTTGCCCAGAGGGGGGGGGGAGGCCCCATCCCTGGGAACATTCCAGGCCAGGGGGTTGGAGGGGTCTGTGAGCAACCTGATGTGGTTCAAGGTGTCCCTGCTCCTGCAGGGGGGTTGGGCTGGGTGACCTCTAGGAGTCCCTTCCAACCCAAAACATTCTGTGATTCTATGATAATAAATATTTTGCTATTTATAATAGGGAGAGGCCAGAAATTCTCTCGGGCAAAGGTACCGTTCCAGCTCTGAGCTTGGGGCAGCTCCAACTGGAAGCTGTCAGACAAACAGCAACGTCTCACTCATCTGTTTGGATGGAACAGAGCTGGAAAAATAAATCCCATGGCTATTTATTTCTGCTCAAAAATAGACTCTGCTTCCAAGAAATTGCTGCTCTTGTCCCCGCCTTTATGAAATCGGACCCGTTCAGCTGTGAGCAGGATATCCCAGAAACAGCCACTTCTCACCCTGGGGCAGCCAAGTGCCCCCTCCCCACAGTCCGGACCTGACAGCATTTAAAATTGTACATAAACTTGCATTTCTACTTGGAGATGATAACAGGAATATGCACATCCAGACACATCCCATCTGTTCGCCTCCTGCAGAGCCAGCCAGCTTTAAAACATCCCACATCGCCAAAATAAAATAAAAATTGAAAAGAAAATAAAAAATGAAGAGAAAAAAAGAACAAAACAGACTTTCATTTCCATTTTTAAAAAAGGTGAGAAACTTCTGCTAATAAAATATTCAATTAATTACTCCTTTTGGGTCATTTTTCCTTCATAATTGCAGACAGTTTGCCTCGGCAATTAACTTTTGCAGCAAGGAAATCACTGCACCTGCTACGAGCCGTGGGGAGAAGGGCTTGGGTGCAGATCCCACGATTGGCCTGGCCCTCCAGGGCACTTTGAGACAAGCGTCCCACAACCCGCTTGTGCCCCACGTCCACACCAGCAGCAACCAGTCCCCGGGATGAGCTGGGGCACGGCCGTCGCAGGCCGGCAGGGGAGGGGGCTGGCAGCCTCCCGCTGCTTTGCTGTGCACCCCCAGCCCGTGCTGCCCGTCCCACCGAGCTTCCCTGCAGAGCCAGCTTTGGAGCTCAGCCCGTACCATGGGGACCAGCACCCCAAGGTACAGGGTCCGAGAGCCCCAGGTCTCCCGAACACCTAAAATACTTGGGAGATGGACATCCCTCTTCTGCACAACCCTGCCCCTACGGCTCCTTGCTTTGCTGCAGGCTGGCTCCAGAGACCAGTGTGGCCAGCCAGGACATTCCAGGGAGAAATATGGGGTCAGCAAAAAAGAAAAAAGGGCCAAGGGTAAGGATTTTTTCACCAGTTCATTAACTATTATGAAATGACTGGTTTGGAGCTCAGGTTTGCACAGGGGTGTGAGTGGGTGGCTTAAATCCGCTGGACCCATAAAACGTTCCAGGAGACATTAAGTGCAAATAAGCCATATAGTGCAAAGAACAGGCAGTTTATCCTACGTGCCTGTGAGTAGAAAGCTAGACAAACCTGTGAGACTGCGCAGCTGAGATCTCATTTTCCTAACCAAGTGACTGCTGAGCATCACTTTTCCCTGAGCAACGACGTGCAGCGGGAGACCAAGAAGCCCACAGCCACCACGGTGACTCTCCCTCCTGATCCGGCGAGGGCTGCAAATGCAGAAATGGTGCCCAGCCGGTGTGCAGGCATTCTCTTTGAAACGCAAACATCATATTTATGCTGCTGAGGTACAAGATATATTTACAGGAGAGCTCACCACTGGATTTCTCTTTGGTCCCTGGCCCCGCGTGTCTGCGAGGGAGGCGTCTCCTCCCGCTCACCTCCAGCTGAGGCGCGATGCGGTTTATGCAGCTCCCATTGAATTTTGCTGGCAATCCCCTTTCACAGCCATTTCTACAAATATTTTCAGACTCCACCCAGCCCATTTGCTGCCACCAGCACTTCCCCCTAAGCTGGTTTTTCACCTGAGCCTTCCCCAGCTCTCCAGCATCCTCAGAAACCTCCCATTCCTGGTGCCCGGTGAGATGTCAACACCCCGGTTCCCTTGGTGGGGAAGGGATGCCCGGGCTGCCCCGCTGGCACGGGAGGGCTCTCACCGGGGACACCAAACCCAGTGCCCTCGCCTGGAACATCCTCCGCTTCTCACACCCCAAACTCTCTCTGCTCTTAGCTGGCAAAAGCACTCCTTGGACCCAAAAGTCCCAGTGGAAAAGGAATGTGCCCTGGGTTGGGCAAGGCACAAAGCAAGCTGCAGCTCCAGGTGGGAAGCTGAGCGGGATTTCGCTGTAGGATGCAGCACGGGGCATCGCTGGGGCTGTCCCCCCCCTGCTGCCACACAACCCCAGCCCCCATAAGCAGCAAGAGGGGCAGAAACCAAATCCTGCCCATGATAGAGCCTGGCCTTGGGGCAACCAGACTCCGTGGTGGTCTCTGGCAGTGCCTGTGCTCTCGGCATCGCCTGCCAACAGCCCCATCTCCCCGCTCCCCTACAAACCCCTGCTGCTGCCCAGCTCTGCCCGCGTTATCCCATCAGGTCCGTGACACTTCCAATCTATTCGCAGGGCAGTGATCGCGCCCTGGGGAGCCACGCGGTTTTGTGCCTGCAGTATAATTTATGAGTTTGGGACGGGCTTCTCCCCACAAGCGCAGGCTCCGGAGGTAACCTCCCTGCCCAGACAAAGGGCAAGAGCCTTCGCCAAAGCATCAACCCACGTACAACCTCGCCACAGAGAAACAAAGCACCCGGCTTTTGAGAAAACCAAATACTATGGGGTTTTTTTCCTCTTTTTTTTTTCCCCTCCCAGTCACTGCCTGTGTTTAGCCACCAACACAATAGCTGCTCTCTCAAGACAGAGGGAAGAGGGATGGTGGGTCTTATCTTTAAATCATGAGCCTCCGCCGAGGACAGGCCTCCTCTTCAGCAAGGACGCAAACTGGGCTGGCTCTGCCACGCGGGCTCTTTCACATGGGCCAGATCCTATTAATCCAAATTGTCTCTCAAGCTGAGCTCCGCGTATCCAATTAATTAGCTTAAAACTCAAGAATTTTAAGCTGTGAAAACATCGAGGGGGGTTCTGTCGCCCTTTGGCTCTTTCATCACACCTGGTTTTGCGAAAGTTGAGGCTACGACCCATGAACGGGGACGCGGGCACACACAGAGGACGGGCAGGCGATGCTGCCAACGCGGGGCCGCTCGCTGCCCGGTTAGCGGGGGAGATCAGTCGGGTTAGGCAGAGGGGGGTTAAACCGTGAAGGTCTCCAGAAGCCAGCGTTGACTCACCACTGTACATGGCAGTGTGATTAAATTTCTGCTCCAAACACAAGAGCGGTGCGGACAGGCAACAGCAGGGATACAAAAGCACTCGGAGCTCAGCTGCCTGCCAGGGCAAACGACGTAACACAGCAATACAGGAGAGGAAAAGAGGGTTGGTTTCCTCCTACAAGATGGGAAGACAAATAAATAGATGAAAATTGTATCACAAACATTTCCTTGAAGGGTTTTTCTTGTCAGTAGACAAACATTTGTATCTTTGGGGGAAAAAAAAAAAAAAAAATCAGTTCAATCTGGAGAAGCAAATGGTTTTTCCATCATTTTTTTAACTACGAGGGAAACATTTTCCGGCTACTTTTTCCCAACATAAAGCACAGGCTGGGCACAGCTAGGCACAGCGTAACGATGCAGAAAGGCATGGCTAGGATGAACAAATGAAAAAAAAAAAAATAAAAAAAATTAGGGTCTAAAAGCATAATCTGCTGTAAAATCCCTTTTAATGACAAGGTGATTGAAGTAGATTGTGCGACACGTGGAACAGCAGCTCCTCAATAACACCCTGCTCTCATTTATCGACAGCCACCGCCAGCACTCGGGGCACAAAGCTGCGGCTGCTGGAGGCTCTGCCCTCTGTCAGCTCCCACCGTTCCCCAAAATACTGCTCTGGCGTGTGAGAGCACCCTGGTTTCCAGCAGGATGCGGGCACAGCCGTGTGACGCTGTCACCTGCCCAACAGGAGATGTGAGGGGCTACGTTGGCTACCGTATAGTTGTCACCCTGAGCCCATCAGCCACGCACCGTGTCTCTGTGCAAGGGCATTAGGAGAGCCCAGCAGATGCCCAAGAGCTATCTGAACCTGGAAACACCAGAGGAACACTCGGCAGGGAAAGGCCCGGGAGTATCGCTCCCCCCAAGCCTTTGCATTTCCCTCTTCTTGCAGCCATGGGCACAGCAACCCCGTGCAATGATTTTTCAGCAGCTGGTGAACTTTTTTTTTTTAAGGCCAGCCAATGCTCGTGGCCTCAGGCTGAGATGATTGAACAGCTCGAGACAACTACAAGCTCGTCTCCTTTGAACACTGTACATATAAAGAATTTTTTGTATGATAACAGATGAGAAATTAGAGCCTCCACTCTTTAAATTGTCAGGGCCTCTGGGGTGGCATTTGCATCTGATAATTCAGCAGACGTTTCTAAAGGAAAACTTAAAAAGAGGGTCCAGTATAATTGGAAGCCAATTGTACATAGCCTGTGAGCCAAATGCTATGGTGGCACCTGAGCGTAGCAGGATGGGGAGCTTGTATCTGTCTGCACAGAAATCATCCAGGATTTCTTTTCCATTTTTTCCATAGCTTGGAAAACATGTCAGGCTGAAGCCTTTGGAGGCTCAAGTGACCACAGATCTTTGCCAGAATTTCCCCAGCTCACACTAATTCAGGACTCAGTCCTTCCCTAGCAGGTGAACATTGGCATTGTCTGGCCAGCTCTGTACACAGATAAATAATATTCAGAATTAATTACCTGCGCACCCTCCTCACCATTAGCAAAGAGCCTCTTTGTAGTATTTATATTGCTGATTCTCCACTCATGCTCTACACAGAGGAGAAGCTGTTACAATAAAAGTGCAAAGCACTCCAGGGCCCGCCTGCCGCTCACAGCGCTTTTAGGTCACTGGTATCAGAACACTTTCGTAGCGTTATGTCTGATTTAAGCTGCTGCGAGACCAGATTAAGCTCCTAACGCTGGGATTTGGGAGTGCCTCGTGCCTGCTTGGGACAAGAGCCTGCTCCCCAAAGCACAGCCTTGCATCTGCCGGCACACGCTATCCCTTCCTCCCAGTCTGACCTTACTGGGAATGGGAGGTGGCTCTGGTCTGATGACTGGGGCCCATAGCTGCTGCTTCTGTGTCAGCTGCTGATTGTGCCGGTGCTGTGCACCCCCCCACCCCACCAAAAGAGAGCCCATGCTCTGCAGGACCTGCGTCAGCTCAAAAGCCTCACGTCCTGCAGTGCTCAGCTCGTGTCCCCTCTGCCAGCGTCCCCACCAGCCCGCGGGCATGAAATGCGTTAGCATCAGGAGCTCGCTGTCCTCCAGGCAGTCTCAATTCTAGAGAAGAGTCTGCCGTGGCTGGACCTGCCCATGGAAGGGCTCTTCACGTGCCTGGAGAGAGCCACATGTGTGCTCCTCCTGTCCCCCAAGCCGATGCTCTACACTAGGGTGAGACTGAGATCTCCGGCCACCCTGAGCGTGTCCCACGTGTACACACTCAGACCTCAAAGGGTCAAGCCCTCCTGCTAGCACATCCCAGAGCCATGGGGCTAAACAGCGGCTCCTGGTCAGAAAGTAAATCCTGGGCTGTGCAAGGTCGACACACACTCAGTCCCCCCGTGCAGCACCAGCACGGCCAGGAGCTCCCCGTAAACCTAAGCCTGGAGCAAACCAAGGCTATGTCGAGCTTTCAAACTGGGGAAAGATCACTCGGTCTTATACATTTCCCTAAAGATGGGGGGAATGCCCCATCTGTGTTGAAATGCTTTCCAGTTTATCCCAGACACACGGACGTAGCAATACCTGCACCAAGCTGCCTCTGCAGCCCTCGACCCACGAAGCTGCAAAGCTCTGAGATGCTGGATGGCGACCAGCCAGCCCTCCCTGCCAGGACTGGCATTCCTCACCCAAACACGTTCCTGTGCTACCCTAAACAAAAGGAAGGAAGCCACTCTTCTCCCTGGTAGGTCTCAGTGCTGTCAAGAAGCGAAACAAGACAACTGGAAGGAAAACCCTGCCCGAGAGAGGCCAGGGAAGACCCAACCTGAGCGCTTGCTGTGACACTTACTGGTTTTCACCTTGAGGGTGTAGGGGTTTTTCTGCTGGATGGTGTGGGTGAAGTGGAAGCGCGCATTGCAGCTGTAGTCGGTCTGGGCATCCTGCAGCATGACGTTGGAGAAGTACAGGTCACCGTTCTGGCCCTGGGAGACGCGCTTGTCCTGGTGGATGGGCTCCATGGCTGCAGGGGGGGACAGGCATTCAGCGCAAGCCAGATCCCCCCGCAGGCGGCTGCACGAAGGCGAAACCCCCGACCCAGACCCCGTATGGGCACCTCCGAGCTCTGAGCTAGCAGTAATGACCCCAAACATAGTTATCTTAAATAAACACCGCAGATGACGGAAAGGCTGCCCGCAGGGTTGGAGGTGGGAAGGGGTTTGCCCCGACTCACAGCTGCTCATCCAGAAGATGACGGGCGAGGGCAGGCCAGGCGGCGGGTTGCACTGCAGGCTGAGCGGAGCACCTTCATCCACCTCTATCACATCCACCTTCTCCTTGGGCCACAGGGGAGACTCTGCCATAAGAAGTAGAGACACCGCCTGAGGAAGGGAGGGAAGTAACTCTGCAGATCTCTTCCCGCTGGACCTGGCCTGGTTTCAATGGAGTGGCCTCAATGCAAGCTTCATTTCTACGTGTGCAAGATTCCCTTAAACCTATACCGAGTATTTCCCTGATAGCTACAGCCATAACCCCCGTGCCTTCATCTCGGTCCTGTGGCTGGATACATCCTGACACAGGTAACAGATGAAGCAGGCTGAGATGTTTGAGCACTGGATATTCTCTGTGCCTCTTCTACGATGCAAATAGCAAATAGTCCCTGATTGCTCTGCGCCACTGCCGTTACTCACTGGAAACCTGGAGGTGGATTTTGCTGGAGAGAGCGGTGCCGAAGTCATTCCGGGCAAAGCACTGGTACTCGCCCTCGTAGTCCTCTGGCCGTCCCCCGCTGTGGAAGTCGATGACCAGCGTCCCTGACCGCCACCGCATGGACACTTTGGGGTCCTTCGCCACGTTGAAGAACTTCCCATTCCGTGTCCAGGAAAAACTGCAAGCAGGGGGGAGAGGTTGGGTTTGTAACCATGGACCGTATTTACCCGGTGAGATCCTTACCTGTGCCGTGCAAGCCAACAGCTGGATTAGCTGACAGTGCAAGCGGCACCGCAGGGGAGCTCCTCCAGAGCCAGCTCTCATGAACAGTAGAGCTTCAGTGTAGCAAGGGCTGTAGGTGCACTTACGTGGGAATGGGGTTCCCTTTGGCTTCGCATTCGATGAAGATGTTGTCCCTTGGGTCTACGATGTAGTCCTTCACGGACTGCTTGGTGATTGTGGGGGGCTGAGGCACTGCAAAGCAAACGGAAAGCCATGAGGAGGGTTGTGCAAAGAGGGCGAATCCCTTCTCTGCCATCCTGCAGCAGATCCTGATGGGATTTCAGCATCTTCCCCAGGCTGGACGGGCAATTTGTGGTTTAAAGCCCTTCAACACCTGAGGAAATTACCACGAGCATTTGGGGGTTTGTGCTGCTCATCACCTCTCGGGCCATCAGCAATGCTCAGACTCCCTTTTGGTACCGGGAAGCCCCTGTTTCTCCCTTGGTATCTTGGTCTCATTAAGAAATTTCAGAGTTACATCTTCCTGCTACTGCTGGTTGTTTGAATCAGACTGAAAGGCACCCTGGCTGTGCCCCTCCGAGCCAGGGGCTGCAGCTGGGACAGGGAGCCAGAGAGCCCCTGCAAGACATTTACAGGTACTCCCTTGGCAAGAGAGAGGCTCAAAACCTCCCAGATTTACCCCAAAGGAGTGCGGCACTGGTGTTTAGGAGGGCAGGGCTTGTGAAAAGGGGCGCAGGAGCCCAGCAGCCAGTGCAGGCTCTGGCTCTGCTCCTGAACTCCGAATTGAAGAGCTCAGTCCCATGGCTGTCCTGGAACGAAGCCCCTCAGCTCCGAGCCTGTTTGCTCTCCCCCCGGGAGCTGGCAATGCTGCAGACGTGTCAGTACGTGGGGCCGAGCGTGGCGTTCGTGCAAGGCAGAGGAGCCTGCTCTCCCCCAAGCTGTGGCGTTAGCAATAACAAGCCCCCACAGAAATGATATTTGCACTGCAAAGACGGTCTGGTTCCTGCTCCGGGGAAAGCAGCAGAGCCTAAGCGCTCCTCCCAGGCTGCTCCAGCACCTCCTGGGTCTCTCCCAGCCTTGCCTGGCTGTTCAGAATTAGCTCGTCCTGACTCTGGCCAGCCTGGCCACAGGAGTGGGCAACGCACCCACGTACACCATGTGCCAAGCAACAGCCGCCCCCGGCCCCCTGCTCAGTACAGACCCCGCGTGCCCCATGTCGGGCATGCAGAGGAGGCGGGCACGTACGCAGAGAGGGGAACACTTACATTCACTCTGAATATTGGCTGTTATTCCCAAAGCGCAAGCATAATGAAAAAAAAAGAGAAAAGGTTAATTGAAGAGCAAACCTATACACGGCACGGACGCAACCACAAACACACGTAGTCATTGCAGGGCTTGCAAATACTACACACAAATCATTTTACAATTCAAGCACGGTCTAATCTACATACTTACTGTCCATGTGGGAGAAGCTGCTGCTGAGCTGGGCCCGTTAGCTCTCTAGGGTATTAGCCTTGCAACCCTAACAGCCTTAGGGGGTTTGGGGGGCCAAAAGGGGGCACAGCTGAGTCAGAGGCTAATATGTGCCTGATAACCCCCCCAGCTGGCTTTTTAGGTGATAGTCAAACTGAGAGAAGGTGCTTGTAATATCCGGGGAGATCACAGAATCACAGAATATCAAGGGTTGGAAGGGACCTTGGGATCCATATCCTGTCCCCAGGGCAGGGGCAGGCAGGATTTTATCCAAAGAAGAAGATTTGTTAGGGTTGGGGAAGGGATAAAGCACCTGGGCAAGCTTAAAAGAAAGAGCAAATAGTGCAGGTCCCCCAACACAGGATGAGCAAGGGCTGTTCCCTCTGCCGTGAGGGGACCCTGAGGCTTCGCCCACACATCTGCCCTCTCCCAAGCTGCTTCTGCCCTTGAAACATAAAGTCCGGGGAGCAAAATGCCACCCTGGGGAGATCTCCCACTCCCAGGGTGCATCAAGCAAGGGCAGTTGGGTGCCCATGGGGACGAAGGAGCTGATCTCCGTGGGGCAGGGAAGGCTTTCACAGCTGGTGGGAGGTGGGGGATAGAGCTCGTGCACTCCCAGAGCCTGAGATTTGCACGTTTACCAGCCTGGGCGCAAAGCCGGAGCAGCTGGGGCTCATTGCACACCGCCTGGTCAGACCTGCAGCCCTTGGAGCACAGGCGATGCCTTCCTTAGCTCAGCCCCCAGCCGAGCAGGGCGCACAGGAGCCCTGACCTGATCGCCTTAAACAGGAGCGGAAAGCAAACCCCTGATGCCTCTTGAAGATCGGGATGGAAATGAAACTAAGCCGATGCTCCATGTGTCCAAAAGAGCTAAGGGAGGCTGGGAAGGGTCGGCTGGCAGGGCAGGCATCGGCAGGATCCCTTGCCCGGGGCTGGGAGATGCCCCCCACCCGCCTGCTCCTGGCACTGCTGCGTGCAGCTGCCCCCGTGCACATGATTTACAAATATCTGTCGTGCAGAGGACCCGTTTGGGAAGGGATGACAAAAGGAAGCTCAGAGTTACGATCCCAGTTTCCCACCAGCACTGGAAGGGACGATGCTCTCCTGCAGCTCAGTGCTGTGCAGTGGGGAGGAGGAGGAGGAGGAGGAGGAAGAAGCCAGAGAAACTGCGAGCTGCTGGGAAACGATGAGCTGCTGCAGGCTGCCTTGAGCACCTCTCCACCAGCTGTCAGCATTTCTCTTACTTTCCTAAGGTCACATTACATTTAAGTAGCAAAATTACTCCTTTCCTGATGCAAAGCACGAGGAATGGCAGAAGGTGGCTCTTTGCAGACCCATTCAGCTTTCCCCAACTGCGCGGGGCCCTGCTTCCATGCCAGCTGCCTGCATTTCTGGGCTATTATAGATCCTAACAAATCCAGGCCTGAAGGAATCACTGAGCTCTGCGCATCAAATAAAATTCCCATTGCTGGGAACAAGAGTGCCCCCGTGCACAAGATTTACAAATATCTGTCGTGCAGGGGACCCGTTTGGGAAGGGATGACAAAAGGAAGCTCAGAGTTATGATCCCAGTTTCCCACCAGCACTGGAAGGGACGATGCTCTCCTGCAGCTCAGTGCTGTGCAGTGGGGAGGAGGAGGAGGAGGAGGAGGAAGAAGCCAGAGAAACTGCGAGCTGCTGGGAAACGATGAGCTGCTGCAGGCTGCCTTGAGCACCTCTCCACCAGCTGTCAGCATTTCTCTTACTTTCCTAAGGTCACATTACATTTAAGTAGCAAAATTACTCCTTTCCTGATGCAAAGCACGAGGAATGGCAGAAGGTGGCTCTTTGCAGACCCATTCAGCTTTCCCCAACTGCGCGGGGCCCTGCTTCCATGCCAGCTGCCTGCATTTCTGGGCTATTATAGATCCTAACAAATCCAGGCCTGAAGGAATCACTGAGCTCTGCGCATCAAATAAAATTCCCATTGCTGGGAACAAGAGTGCCCTGTGCGCGTTACTGTGCTGACTCCAGGGGAACAGATCTTTTCAACCACAGTCATCTGGAATGGAGCAGAGCAGGGGCTCAGACTCGAGTCTGGGACTCTCTCCTTTTCAAGTAACGTAAGTATTTATTCCCCTCTGCAAATCAGAGTTTTCTCATCCTTTCTCTCCAGTCATTTCCAAATTTCAGCCAAAAGCCACTACCTCAAATTTTTCCTTCCCATTTTGCCGCCCAGAGTCAGGGATCAGCTGAGGGGACCACGGCTACAGCCAGCACGCCCAGGGCTCCGCAGAGCAACATCCCAAAGGGTAGAAATTTCTCCTCTCAAGAGCAGCCCTGGCACTTCAGCCTAAATTTAGACCCCAGCAAAAAGCTGTGCTGCTTCCACTAACGCCCGGCTCGCTGGAGGATTTCTGTGCCTTGCACTGTCGGAAGAGATCCCCCGCAGCCACAGGCTGATTATTATTAACAGCCGCTACAGGAGGAAGCTGGGACACAAAGAAATTACAAAACTGGTTTCCAGAACAGTGGCTCAGCAGTTCTTGGTACGAACCCCTGTCTCAAATGCATTCAAATCAGTCGTGCATTTCCCACCCGCGGGCCTGAAGGTGCCCGTGCAGCAGAAACATCAGCCCATGGCCCCCTTCCTCCTCGCTCTGTATCCCCCAGCTCTTCTGAATAAAACATAACTCCCCTCTTGTAATGAACTGATAAGTCCCAACAGAGGGAGAAAAATCACATTGCTCTGCAGGACCTGCCTGGGTCCCCACTGCCCTCGGGGAGCTGGGTGTCAGATTGTGGCAGCATCTGCCCGAGCAGAGCAGCAGCGAGCTCACGTCCTCCCCAAAGGAGCATCCCAAAGCCTGCCCGTGTTCTGTAGGAATGCCAGGAGTCCCGGAATGTTCCACTGAGATCAACAGGCTGAAGACTTGCCCAGACCTGATTTCCTCACCAGTTTGGCTCAGATGCTCTGTCCCATCTTGGTACGTGGTTTTGAGTCCTCTGCTCAGCGTTTGAGATAGATTGACTAAAGCAGAGAGTGATTTAGGTGACTTTCTGGAGGGCATGTGGTTTAAAACAAAACTTATTCCAAAACCAACAACAGAAAAGAAAACCTTAGGCTGGACCAGGAAAGCCACCTGGGCCCTGTGCATCGCTCTACCCCCTCAACCATCCAAGCAGGAATTTTTAAAGGGGTAAACCATAACTTACAATCCAGAGGGACTTCAATGGTGCTGACGAGGTGATGAAGGTAGAGAGCAAATGCTATTCCTGCGCAGGTGAGGTGGTGTCTTTGCATGACCATTTTGGAGGCCTGGGCAGCGTCAGGACCTCAGTTGTGTCCCCCAAGGCGAGCAGACCAGCAGCAAGCGCAGACGGATCCTCAGCTGCAAACCAAACACAAACCCAGCGGTCACTGAGTCGCTTACGGCTCCATTTCTGTCATCTTCTTTTTGGCAACTGTGAGAGAGGGTTTCCAATCCAAAAATATTTGTGTGGAGGGACAGGGGGGGTGAATAGTGCCAGAAACAGTTTCCAGGCTCTGGTGACCCAAGCACAGGCCTGTGGTCACTCTCCTCCCAGCCCCTGGGTGGCTCTGCTGGCAGAAAACCAGCCTTCAGGGTTATTGGTGCTCAAACCCTGGAGAGACCTCTTGGGTGGAAGGAGAAGGACCACGCCATCCCCTGGGACTGATGGAAAGTTACTCAGAGCAAGCGGACACAAAAGCGGTGAACAGCCCCCATAGGATATAATGAAAAGGATGATTTGCTGTTTAAAAAAAAGAATTATAATGATTGTATTTTTATGCACAAGAAATACCTACATAGCAACCATCCGCTCCCTCCGGCGGGGCAGCGGGATGAGTTCTGCCTCCATGTGCAGCCCACTAAGGGCAGGGGGACCGGCTCCAGAGCCCCCCTCGTGTACCAAAGAGCCCATCACTGGCCTGGCACGGCCCTAGCAGGAGTCAGGGCACGGCGGGACCTTTCCCAACCGGGCTCCAGCTGCTTCCCTCCCCAGACGGCCCCTGGTGCCAGACACTCAGCACGCCGCTGCCGGGCTCCCGAAGGCACCCATCCAAACCCCTTGGGGTCTGTCAAGTTACCATTTGCATTTTCCATCCTCATACCTTTCATTTTGCTGATAATAAACCCGTAGACTAAACGCAGATTAAAATAAAGAGCAAAGAGGGAGGATAAATTATCCCATCCGTCCAGTAAAAGCCCCCGTAGAAAGGCTGCTGTGGCGCAGAGGCTGCATCACGGCTGAGCTACAACTCCCTGTAATAGAGTTATAAAAAGGGCATCAGCCGTGCAGACAGCTCTCTCAGCTACGAACAAAAATAACGCCAGGGCAGCAAAGAGTGGAAAATCCCCAGCCTTGCTCCGTGCTGCGGCTCCCCGGCCCTCGCGCAGGCTTTCGCCGAGGTGGGATGTCGCCAGGCAGGGGAGCGGCACAGAGAGGCCATTTGGCAAGCAAGGGGAGCCCGTCTTCATGCAATATAAATAACCGGCCGCAGCTTTGGATGCTGCTGCCCCTTCAAGCTGTTCCTGAGCCCCGTACGAAGCAATTGCGGGAGGGAGGGGGCGACCCAGCACAACAGACAAAACCCGGCGAGCGCGAGGCTGCCGGGGGCTCCGGGTGCCGCAGGGAATGCTGCTGGCAGCCAGCGAGGAGCAGATGTCACGGAAAATAAAACAGCCCTGACACATGGCCCAGGAAGCTCTCCTGAACCCCAGACAGGATCAAACCCAGCACAAGACAACTTGTAAGGATGCTTTTCCCCGTTACCCGCACGGGGAAGAAGATGGGCTTAATGGTTTCTCCATCCAGCCCTCCTCATTGCGTTGCTCGGGGGGGATTGGGGGCTCCATGTCCCCGCTCCCGGGCTGCAGCCCAAAGGAACTCGCTGTCCCAGCGTGTCCCAGTTACACCAGATGACAGATTGTAGGTTGTGAAGGGGCTTGGAGGGGAGTGTTGCTTTGATCTTTTTTGTTCGTTCTAAGGATTTTCCAATCCAGCTGTTGCAATAAAAATAGTTGAAGGACAGAATAATTACAGGACTGGGCCAGTAATTAAAGTCATGTCCAGGACTTCCGCAGCCCTGTGATCAGGTCATGCTGAACAAAGCTTCCCAAATTATTTCTTTAGCTTTCTGTCTAAGGGAAAATATCATTTTGATCTGTAGCCTTCATTTTTTAAAGCGGTTCATTTCTCCAGTTACAGCTTAAGATGAGTAATGGATCAGCTGGTTTTACGCCTTTCTGTTCCTAAGCACAAGTCTGACTTATGAACTGAATCAGCCAATACCGCAAGCAGAGATTTAGCAAGGCCAAGCTTTCCAGTGTCCTGACCGTGCTCATATTCTGCTGCTTCACATCGCTATCACAAAATGCTATAAAAGGTTTATAAACCCCCCCTTCCTTCACAGATGTAGTATGGGG